CCGCTCACTGGCTGAGCTAGGAGCGGGGGCAACACCAAGGGTTGCGATCCCGTTGCCGGTCCCGGTCCGGTACGGATGCGACACTGAGGGTTGCGATCCGTTGCCGGTCACGAAAAAAAAGACAAAAAGACAAAAAAAAAAAAAAAAAAAAACTTGATTTGAGGGCCGGCCCGGTGGTGCATGCTACAGTGTGCCGCTCGGGAAGTGCGGTGGCGCTCCCGCCGAGGGTTCGGATCCCACATATAGACCGGCCGCTCACTGGCTGAGCTAGGAGCGGGGGCAACACCAAGGGTTGCGATCCCGTTGCCGGTCCCGGTCCGGTACGGATGCGACACTGAGGGTTGCGATCCATTGCCGGTCACGAAAAAAAAAGACAAAAAGACAAAAAAAAAAAAACTTGATTTGAGCTGGGGGCTGATGGCGGAGTTGGGGGTGAGTTAGGGAGAGCCTCTCTGAGGAGGTGTCATTTGAGCTGAGATAGGATTTGGGCTGAGAAGGAGCGGCCAAGAGGAGATCTACAGGGAGAGCTTTCCAGGCAGAGGCATAGCCTGTGCAAAGGCCCTGAGGCCCACGTGGAGATCCAAACCCTTGACCTTGGTATTATCAACACCACACTCTAACCAACTGAGCTAACCAGCCAGCCCTCGAATTTGTTTTTAATTGTGATTAAATATATATAACATAAAATTTACCATCTTAGCCATGTTTAAGTGTACTGTTCAGTGGCATTAAGTACATTCACATTGTTGTACAGACATCACCAACCATCCATCTCCAGAACTTTCTCATCTTCCCAAATGGAAACTGTCTCCATTAAACATTAATTCCCCTTCCCCGCTCCCCCAGCCTTATGAATTTTAAGTGGGACACAAAGTCATCAGAGTGTTTTAAGCAGGGGACATGATCTAATTTCTTTTCTTTTCTTTCTTTCTTTCTTTTTTTTTTTTTTGGTGGCTGGCTAGTACAGGGATCCAAACCCTTGACCTTGGTGTTACAACAGCAAGTTCTTTTTTTTTTTTTCCTTTTTGTCTTTTTTCGTGACCAGCAATGGATCGCAATCCTCAGTGTCGCGCCCGTACTGGACCGGGACCGGCAACAGAATCGCAACCCTCGGTGTTGCGCCCGCCCCCCGCTCAGCCAGTGGGCGGCCAGCCTGTATGTGGGATCTGAACCCTCGGCGGGAGCACCGCTGCACTCCCAAGTGGCGCACTGTAGCAGTGTGCCACCGGGCCGGCCCCTACAACAGCAAGTTCTTTTTTTTTTTTTTCCTTTTTGTCTTTTTTCGTGA